AAAACCTTTGAATCCACCAAGAGGCTCTTTAAATCCATGAAGAAGATGACCTTTGAATCCATGAAGAATTATGTAAAAAGAAAATATCATGAGGTTAATGGATATCATGCGTCATATGAGAGGAATCGCTCATACAATGATGTGGCTCAATCTTAACCATGTCAAAAACCTTTGAATCCACCAAGAGGCTCTTTAAATCCATGAAGAAGATGACCTTTGAATCCATGAAGAATTATGTAAAAAGAAAATATCATGAGGTTAATGGATATCATGCGTCATATGAGAGGAATCGCTCATACAATGATGTGGCTCAATCTTAACCATGTCACAATATCAACCAAGTATATGGTTAGGAATGTTTTTCTCTCCCCTTTTCTCACTTGGTTGAGATTGAGCCACATCATTGCCACATGAGGGAACCTCTCATATGACAAGAATATCCATTATCTCAAATATTATTAATCAAAAAGTAATATCTCTAGGGTTTAAAATCACTCTGCTTGAGTTGAAAACATAATAGACTCCTAATAGGATATAAGTACCTAAAAGTAGAAAGTATCAAAAACTACTTTTAAAAGACCCATTATGATTGGGGAAACTAATAAATCAAATATAAGATCAAAATGGAAGCTTTCCTAATCCAAACAGATTCCTATTTAATTACTAAAATAGCAAAATGTCAAATATATCTCAATCTGGAGAGAATTTTGCGAATCTGAGAATCGTAAATCGAACTTTAGTAGGGTTGGTTGGCTCAATCTAGATGATTTTCATAAATTTTATGTCTAGTTCTTCCTTACGAATTGAGAGATATGACTCGTTTTTTGTGTGTAGGTCAAAGACCCTTTCCAGGCCCTGCTTGAGCTTCTAGCAGTCCACCGCTCTAAAAACTCATCTGCGACGCGTTCTACATCAGAGAGTTTTTCTTATTGATAAAGTAAGAGAGAAAGAGTCTTGGGTAAATTTTCCTTAAGTTGAATATTGAGTGTGCACATATATTTATACAAATAGAGGAGGGTGTGGTGTGTTCTCACAACCAATATGGGACTAAAAACCCACTACTAACACTATTATCAACACTATTATCAACAGTCCCCTCAAACTCATATTGGATCAAACAAAGTGAGTTTGCGTAT